GGATTACTAGGGTGGTCTCCCCTAATAAACCTGGCATTGTGGAAAGACACAAACAGGTGTGAGTGACTACTTTTCAGGGATACGCCCTTACTCATAACACAGGCAGAGGCTAGGTTTTTACTGGCTGTTCTAGGCAAGGCCGGATTTTTATGTGGCTTTTATATTCCCACCCCTAGAAGCACAGTGCAAGACAAAAGGTGCCCAATAAAATCTGCTGGCTGGCTCCTGACATCCCAACAGAATTCAATATGACAATACTGAATATCAGACAATACTTGAATACCAATGAATATCATAAAGACAATATGAACTTCAGAGAAATCTTAAACTTCATTCCACTGTTAACTCTACTGTTAAGCAGTAATGTTATTAAAATTCTGAAATTGTTTATATTCATTTAAAGATAAAGCAAATAAATAAATGTATTTTACTTTATCACGAATCAAATTTTTTCAGTCTAGGAGGAAGAAGAAATATACAATACATAAGATTTTTAAAATTAAGGAAAAACTCTAAATTTCTGAAATATATATTTCCATATTATCTAATGAAAGGACCTAGAAGTAGTAACACCTCAGCAGCAATGAATACACTTAGCATTCAAACTTGGTTTCTAAATATATTTCCCATTAAAAGGAACTAAGGCTCCTCAGAGGAAGTAATTCCACATTCTTGCAGATGAGCTTCAAATATATATATACTTGTGCCAGAAAACAAGAAGTACTCAAAAACTAATGCCAAAGGGCTACAAGAAGCCAGTCTTGGGAGAGCTTCCATGGCCAAATTTGGCACCACTTGATTAAATAATCATAATCATAGCAGCTTTAATTGATGGAAACATGTTCAATAAGTAAAACTGAGCACATCTTTAGCAGTATCTAGAAAAAGAGAGAGGACAAGCAATGGTAGGAGTAAGAAAAAAAGGAAACTCTTCTTTATAGACTGATATGATATAGAAGATAGAATCTGAAAACCATCATCTCTCAATATTAACTAACTCAGGCAAATGAATATCAAAGGCATTAGTTAAAAAGTTATGGGTGAACAGAAGATTCACTTGATGTCATGGTATCAACTGTGGAGATTATTTACTAAGTACAAATCCACACCTTTATAGTGGAGATATCTGGCAGTCACCTCTCCAATTGAGTTATCCAACTTGGCTTCACTTATAGTGAGACAACCACAATAAATATGCACCTGATGTGATGCAATATGAAATACCTAATACCACCAATGAGATGTTCCTGCCCCAAAATATTTAATCTGAGTCTCTCAACCTAATTTCCAGGTTACAGGAAATACAGGCAGGAGGAATAAGCTGAAACAGAACATGAGGGAACTATCAGACAAATTCAGAATATGGAGTATTTTATAAAATAATTGGCTGGACTCTCCTAAAAGTCAGTTTCTTTAAAGAAAAGAAGAAGGGGCAAAGAGGTGGACACAGAAGATCTAAATTAAAATTGAGTTAACAGCTAAGATATGTAATGTATAAATCTTAATTGGACTGTGACTTGAAAATAATTACAAAAACAATCACAACATAACTGAGGATATCTGAATATAGAATAAACATTAGATGAAATTCTGGAATTATTCTCTTAGACAGTGTTATGATTATATAGAAGACTTTATTTTAAGAGAAAGCATGTTCAAGTAATTTCTAAGTGAAGGCCTATGGTGGTGCCACAATATATATACAAAACACTCATGACTGTTGAGTCTAAGCAAAGGGTAGAGAGTATTAATTCTTTTAACAGTTCTGTAATTAAGAAGATTTTCATAATAAAAAGTTTGGGGGAAATTATTAAAATGAAAACATAAAATTTAATTCTCAGAGACAAACTTTACTCAAAGAGTGTATGGACCCCAAGTTCAGAATTACTCATCTAGCTAATTCGTCTCTTTCCCTTCCAGAGTGTTACCTCAAAATAACAGACCCTAAAACTTCAAGCAATAAACTATCAGTCCCTGATGTGTACCAGCAATAATAACACAAGTTGACATTAAGACACAAGGATTGAAATGAAGGAGTTACCAAGATTCAAACAACCAATTCAAGTATCACACAAAACACAGTACACACAAATGAATACATTCTCAAGCTGGGAAAACCTTGTGGCTGGATGAATGCCAATTTCCAGTGGCCTGCCTCCAGGAAGGCACAGAGCAATGGTGCAGCCTCATTTGTTATAAATCCTTAGCTTGTAAAACCAATCATTTGTCTTGCTTTGTTTTGTGTATGAATTTTAGTTATGATATTGTACTACAGTTATACCGCTGGGGAAAACTGGGTACAGGGCACATGGGACCTCCTCCCTATACACTCTTCTGCAAATTCCTGTGACTCTATAATTATTTCAAAAATAAAACAACACATTATAGATCACATAACCTGGTCTTTTCCAGTTTGAATATATCATTAACCTGCTCTTTAAACTCTTCCCACAACCAATCAGATAAATGACATGCTTTCTTTAAAAAGAGCCCTTGGAGATCCTAAAGTTAATCAATTCTTAAAATGTTTAAAATCTGAGAAGAAATAGAAAGGAGGTTTTTACATCACTTCTAGACCTCTTAGTTTCCTACACAGCCCCTACCACCTCACCCCAGGTGAAATGTGAATTCTCCACTGTAATAGGCTTCCAGGTCATGTGATTGAGTAAAGCAGTGCAGTGGACTCAGCACAGGCCCTCGAGCACACTGGTTCAGGACTGCTAGAGCTGACAGCTGAAAGGACAGCAGCCACACACTCCCCTTCCCACATGCTGCTTCTCTGGCCTTCTGAGCTTGAGCAATAAGGAGTAGACTGGTGGTAGGTACCTCCTGATTTCACCTCAGTAACAGAACGAGTCTGTGATTTTTGCCAAAAATAAGCATTCACATCTTTTTGCTTCTAAGACAAAACTGAGAAGTCAAAAACTATGCAGAATCCTGGTCTCAACAAGAGAACCCTCTAGAACAGTGCCTTCTGCTGGAGTAGAAACTGGAAACATCAGTCGAAAATTCTCTCATGCAGGCTTGCTCCCAGGTCCTACCCAGGCCAATGCCTACACCTTTACAACAGTTGCTGAGAGGCCCTTGATGTGGGGGCATTGGCAAGGTCTTTGGCCAATCAACCAAGCAATGTGTTTCCTGGGGTGCTGGCTGCAACAATGTCCTCTGTCCACATTGTACCCCATGCTCTAGCACAGAGGTCACTGCATAGAAAAGCACACAGGAAATATTACTGAGAAGCCAAGGTGGTAAGTAGTTGATTGAGTTTGCATTCATCCTGAAGACTCAATATTTTCTAGTTCTTACTAGGAAATATGCATACTGGAGCTGAGCACATTATTAGAGACCAAGGGGAGAACAAGACAGTGGAGGAGACCTCTCTAGATTATTCAACTATACACATGAGGTTAACTCAGCCATTATCTTCCATGACAAACCCCAGATTTGGGGAGCTTATGGTTTAACTTAAAGATATCCCAAACCCCCAAAGCTGCAGGTTAACTTTTCTCTAGAATATGTGATATAAGATAGTAAATCTTATTCATAATTAAGCAAACTAGAAGCAATCACAGTGTAAAGTAAAATTTATGATGAAAATACAGTTGACCCTTGAACAACATGGTAGTTAGGGTCACCGACCACTGAAAATCGCTTATAACTCTGACTCCCCAAAACTTAACTACTAGTTGCTTACTGTTGACCAGAAGCCTTACCAATAACAAAGAGTTGATTAACATATATTTTGTATATTATATGTAGTATATACTGTATTCTTACAATTAAATAAGCTACAGAAAAGATATTAAGAAAATACACTCATAATATTCATTGAAAAAACCTGTATATTAAATGAAACTGCATAGTTCAAACCCATGTTGTTCAAGTGTTAACTGTAATTTAAAATAGGATGGATTTAGTGCACTATAATTTATGGCTATTTATTAAAAATGAAATATAGATATACATACACATGCACACACAAAGGAAAATAGATACTGTATTTTGCCATGTATAATGCTCACTTTTTTGCCCAAATTTTTTAGGGAAAATAGGATGTACATTATATACAGGGGTATAAACATTACATACCATGGGTATAATAACCCTATGCGTTATAATGCACACAAAATGTGGATGAACATTATACATAGCAAAATATGGTACTTTTTGTCTGAGTTAATTTCTCCTCTTTTCCAAAAGCTACACAGTAAATCTTTATATCACCATATTTTGCTACTAAATTTTGCCAACAATCTGCTCAGCATTCTAGCAGATGTTTCTGTTTTCAAACCTCTGGGAACTTGGCTAGATCTGTTTTCTTTCTCCATGTTAAAAATAAAAGAAATGTTCCAAATGTGGTCTAATCCCTAGAGAAACTTGTCCCTACCCCACGCCCCTCAACATCCCTATTTATGTGACCTCCATGATCCCTTCCCAAATCTCTTCTTTGCCACGGGAGATGATGTTTCCAATTATGGTCCATTATGTTGCCAGGAATGACATCACTTAGACGTGTTTTTTTTTTTTTTTTAAAGAAAAAATGCTACTGATTGTTACTTACTTAGGGACCATCTGCAACAATTTACGTCAATTATTGTGCTGGACCTTATGAACCATAATGTCACGAGAGGGCAATTTGTTCAAGATTGATTCTCCAAACAGAACTATACCCTCACCTGGGACTAGAGGGCAAGGGGGAGGTCAGGTGGGTGTCCTTGTCTTTATCTAATGATTTATTTTTTTAAGCTTTCATTTATTTTATTTTTAAAGAGAGGGGAAGGGAAGGAGAAAGAGGGAGAGAAACATCAGTGTGTGGTTGCCTCTTATATGCCCCCTACTGGGGACCTGGTCCACAATCTAGGCATGTGCCGTGATGCCGTGAGCATGTGCCCTGACTGGGAATTCAACCAGCAACCCTTTTGTTTGCAGGCCAGCGCTCAATCCATTGAACTACACAGTCAAAGATGATTTCTTTAAATACATTTGTTACCCCATTTTACCTCAGTAACATCCATGACTTTGATGGCTGCCAGCTGACCTGTTTTAACATGTCGACCCTGAAAAACAGAAAAGAAAGATCATTGGCACCACTGTTTCGCACAATCACTAGAACAGAATGGTTGAAGCTTCAATCATTTCTTCTGTATTCCCCCCCCCAAATTATGATGAAATAGTCTGTGCTTTTCAACAGAACAGTATGGTTGGTAATACCAATGAACCACACTTGACAAACAAAACATTTAGAACAAATTCGTTTTGATAAATTTCCCCTTTCCAGGGTTGAATTTACCTATAATTACCTCTCAACCCAAGCAACTTAGAGGTTTTCTTCTATACATCATGTTGAGCACTCTTTCTTTCCTAATATTCCACATGAAAGAAATAAAATCACACACACACACACACACACACACACACACACACACAAACACCCCTAGCTGTCTGCTGTCAAAAATGAATAATAGTCATTTTTCCCTAGTGGAGTTCCAATACCCATTACTTGATCTTAAAGAATTATACTGAGAGACACTTTTGAAGCCTCCTTGTAGTTCCAATGTAGAAAGGCTGGCAAATAACTACCCAGAATAAAGGAGTGTACAAAAAGATTATGCAGGGTGGAGGAAGGGGAGAAAGAGAGATGGGGGAGACAATGAGGGGTGAGTATGCAAGTTAAGGCTTTTTCACAGCTATATTTTAATTCCTGACCTAGAACCTAAAAATTTGTTATCCACTTATATCACTAGATATTTCAAATTTGATGTCCTTCTCCCCTCACTAGATGAGGCTTATTGGATCTAATTACTATCAGTCTGGCTCCTCTCCATCCACTTTATCATGAAGGCTCTACTGATCACTTCCCAGCTGAGTTGTTAACAAAGAGCCACCCAGATATCCTGAGCACTATTTAAGGACTTTATGAAAAATGGTCCTTCTGCAACAAATGTAAAACAAAAATAAGGCCTCCATGTTTTCCCCAAGACTACCTCTATTGTGGTTCCATGTTAGAGCATTATGAATTTTAGAACTTAAAACCTGAGGAACAAAGCAACAGCCTCCCTTTTTCTCTGGGAAGTCTGCACAGGAACTCAAGTTCCAATTCAGTCCAAAAAAACAACCCTGTGAAAATGACACTCTACTAAAATGACATCTCTAGCCCCGACTGGTATGGCTCACTGGGTTGGGTGTTGTTCCACAAACCAAAAGTCCCCAGTTTGATTACCAGTCAGGACACATGCCTGGATTGCGGGCCAGGTCCCTGGTTTAGTTCGGGGTGTGAAAGAGGCAATTGATCAATGTTTCTCTGGCACACTGATGTTTGTTTCCCTCCCTCCCTCCCTCCCTCCCTCCCTTTAAAAAATTAACATACTCTGGCTGATGTGGCTCAGTGGATTGAGCACTGGCCGGGGAACCAAAGGGTCGCTGGTTCAATTCCCAGTCAGGGCACATGCCTGGGCTGCAGGCCAGATCCCCAGTAGGGGACACATGAGAGGCAACCACACTTTGATGTTTCTCTCCCTCTCTTTCTCTCCCCCTCCTCCTCCCTCTAAAAATAAATAAAATCTTTAAAAAAGAAAATGAAGTCTCCATTACATGTGCTCATGATGGGATGGAGTCCGGCAATGACCCAACAGTTCAGAAGCAGGACATGTGCAACAGGAACCCAGGACAAACACAATCAACAGGTCAGGCACCTCGTTCCAGATTTCACCTACCTGCAGACATTGCCAACCCCACCCTCCCCATGAGCTACTTTCCTAAGTCACCACAGTGCTACCATGTGACTGTGTGTACCATCTGTAGTTCAGGCCATCTGAAGTCCTACCTCTGAGGCAGGCAGGGAGAAGGGACATAGTCCATGTAGCAGGGAACTCTGCCTTCTTGCCCTTCCAGCCACCTGCCAGCTACTACTCTACAATTGTGCTTTCCTAGCCTGCCTAGCCTCAACAGCCCAGATGTGACACCTGCCACCCCAGAGTACACCATCATCACACCTTGTCTAGCATCCCCACATAGCCTGGGAGGATAGTCTGGCACTGTTCATGCATTCAGTTGGTTCACCCATGATCCTGAAAGAAAATGCTGTCCTGTCTATATATTACACTAAATAATGAGGAAGCCATCTGACATCCACAGAAGCTCCATCTCAAAGGCCTGCACAGTGGAGTCCAACTCTGTACCAGAAAGGTCATAATTTATGAAGGTTATACGTGCTCCCATATTTTTTACTACCTATCTAACCAAAATCACTCATTTAAAATGTCTATCTATATGTGTTATAGGCTCTGTAACCTCAGCCTTTTTTTAGCTTTGTAACTACAGCATTATTCTAAGCATCACTACAAAGAACACTAAGCTTTATTTTGTGTCCTGGGCATGGGCAGGACCCTGCAGCTACAGGCAGGAGTCCAGAGCACAGGCTAGCCAGACTGGATCTTCCCCTCATCTCCTCCACACAGAGCCTGAGACCAGAGCACAGTACAGCTCGGTTCACCTCTAGCTCCTTCCTGTTAAAGAGGGAAGAGTGATGCCCACTTCACGGGTTTATTGTTGAGAACAGTGAGTACGTGGCACATGATCAAACCCAACCCTGGTAATAAATTATGATTGAACCTTGTTTCTCTCAACTGATGATAGAAATAAATTTATTATCACAGTATCAAGCACCTCCCATGAGTACTTATCACTGGCACTGCAATCATGAAACCAAATCATGACCTTGAATCCAGAAGGGTACAACTTCTTGTAAGAAACACAAAGACAATCTCCTTAGCACTCAGTCAGCCCTCAAATATGCAAACACACACCTGTTACTCTTCATGCAGTAGTTAGTACCCACTGCACGAAGAGTATTGTTATTTTGCCATGTACAACGTGTACTTTTTGCTCAAACTTTTGAGGGAAAAAATAAGGATGTACATTATAAATGGGTAGTACCTGAAATACCTTGTATCTGTTCTTGTGTTTTGTAATTATTTGTTACATAAAACTTTCTGTACCATAATATGTTTAAAATAAATGCTAAAATTCCTTTAAAATACAAAAAACAAGTTACTAAAAGCCCGTTTCCCACTGACAGAATCAGAAAAAATATCACAAGAGTTGCCCAGCCTTCCCTCTTTTCAAGCAGGGTGAGCAGTACTGTGTTAGGATGTATTAGGTGAGATATGGAGGAAAGGAGAGTATTCTGAGTGATACGGTAATACTTACAATCTTTACAGGACAAGAAAATCCACTGATCTTCAAAAAAATACCTCTCCAGATGTTTGTACAATAGTGGTGTCTTCCTTTTTTCCCTCTATACCTGATTTTAAGACTGCAAGTGTATTCTTCAGACTTAGCAGTTTGACAGTGGCATAAAGACTAAGAATGGTGAATTCACTCAGTATTTGCTTTGTACAGAACATTAGTTTCCCTCACTGAGGGATTATAGAATCAGGAACTAACAACTAATTAACTATTTTTGTGTCACATAAAAGACCAAGCAAAGGCATTAGCCTTAACATGTAGACCACGTCTTCCAAAATTAGGTCCATTTCAAACTGAAATTGTAATCAGGAAACTAACAATTCTGCCTCTCTCCTTCCTAAGAAACAAGACAATGCATTGGAAGAAATGAATCTGGGATTTGGGCAGCCTTGGGCTCTTATTCTTCCACTACCAATATTAATGTATTTCCCTGGGGAAGTTGTTCGACTTCTACGAGCTTCTAAGATCACTGCAGAATCCAAAGCAAGCTACAGTAAGTGCACAACCTATATAAATCCCTGCTCATCACACCTGGCAGACACTCAGCTGAGAGTCTTTGCTCCCTCCAGAGGCCCCTGCTGATTCCCTGACCTTTTCTCACTAATGCAGCTTGCAACTACCCCAAACCTCATCAGTTTAGGCCCATTTCTCATCTTCGAAAGACATGGCCAATACATGGGGAGGCAGCAAGGTGCTTCTTTCTTTCTATCTACTTGTATTCACACAAACATATAAATATATATACATATACAAATATACGAAATGTGTTCATATTATATATGTATAAAACCTCTTAATTTGAAACTAACGGAAGTAATATTCTACCTGCTGAGGTGGGCCACCATATGTAAGGGAATCAAAATGGCCAGCAAAATACCATGAGGGGAAAAACTAAAGCTGAGACTATATATAATAAATGTTAGTTAATATGTATGTAATCACGTGCTAAGGAGGTTACATGAAGGGTTTTTTGAAATGATAAAAACTTGTGTGATTTACTCAACAATACCAAAGATAGAACATATGATTACCCCTCTCAAGGTGGACTGGGGACCCATAAGGGAGGCCCCACCTATGTTCCCTTGGTAGAGCTTTAACTGTAACAAATGACCCCCATTATACCACCTCAGTAGTATGTTCTTGGGAACCTCTCTGCCTGGTTTCAGGAGTTATAACTGCCCCCCATGGCTAAGACTCAGTGAGTGACCTCTGGAATGCCAGCCACAAGGAGACAAAGCTTGTTTCTGGTGGCAAACACTGCCTCTGCTTCCTCCTCCTGCCCCCAATGCATGGTCAGTTAGTCAGAGACAGGTAAGACCCCTCAGAGCGGGGGGGCGACCCAAGACAGACGTGATCACTTGGGAGGCCATCATGGAAGGACTTGGGGGGCTGCAACAAAGAGGGAGTGATGGACCCTCGCTCCCCAGCTATTCTGACATATCCTGAGTCCCCATGTCCTGTGGGAAAAGCGTTTCCTGGCTCTCATCCACTTAAGCCTGAAAACCTGTGATGGGGGAGGCAGTGCATCCCCTTGCCCAGCTAGAGCGGTATCCAGGGTAATCAGGCATAAGAAGGAATTCCTAAAAGTCCTGTGAAGCCTGCTTTGCTAAGAATGTTTTCATTCTTATGATAAGGGTCCAAGCAGGAAATGAGTAGGTCTCCCAAAGTTTCTGCAACTCCCTTTCCTGACAGACACTGATTCAGACTAAGCTCTCAGATGTCTCTGAAATGTTATCTACTGTTTGATCCTTACCACCTGTATTCCTGTGCATAACAACCCAATAAAAGCCACTGAGGAAGGGACTCTTAG